CCCTTTACAGACTAACAGACGTATTGGAGCATAAGCTTTCGTGGACTACAGCCCACTTCTTCGGATGCATACAGAGTGGAATAAATATTGAGGAGATATATATACACACATACAGAGAGCATAAACAGGTGGGAGTTTATAAACAGTTTCCCACCTGTTTATGCTCTCTGTATGTGTGTATATATATCTCCTCAATATTTATGCTCTCTGTATGTGTGTATATATATCTCCTCAATATTTATTCCACTCTGTATGCATCCGAAGAAGTGGGCTGTAGTCCACGAAAGCTTATGCTCTAATAAATTTGTTAATCTCTAAGGTGCCACAAGTACTCCTGTTCTTTTTACGGATACAGACTAACACGGCTGCTACTCTGAAACTTGGGTAACAAAGACTCCAATCTTGGGGGGGAGGAATGGAGGCACCTACCTAGCTTTACTCATGTGAATAACCCCACTGTAGTATGTATATTTATATTCATCTACATACACTCTTGCACTTAAAACTAAGAAAGTATAAGCAATTAATGAAAATACTCAAGAGAACCCTTACACTGGAGGTTTTTGTTTTTTAAAATAAGTTAGCAGATCCTGATTTTCTCATGAAGGGTACATTGAAATATTTTAAATCCCTGTATCCAAAAATGAATTGGAAATTAACCACCTTAAGTCTGTCCCTCCCTAAGCAACTTTTGACAAGTTAAGACAAAGCATGTTTTCTAAACACAGTTCTGACATGACTTCACTCTGCCCAGACATTGTGGTCAAAGTGTTAGGACACAGTTGAACTACAGCCAAGTTTTAAAAAACTTCTAAGTGTTATTTTGTACTGTAGACTGGATTTTTCAGACCATGAAGAATGGAAACCTATGAGTAGATCATAGCTTATGTCCCTGTAAAATGCCTTAAAGAATCAAAGTACAAGTAAAAGAATCTTCCCTGTTCATAGACTCAGACTTATAGACTACTGTCAGAAGGGACCATCATAATAGTCTAGTCCAGGGGTAGGCAACCTATGGCACGCGTGCCAAAGGCGGCACGCAAGCTGATCTTCAGTGGCACTCACACTGCCCTGGTCACCGGTCCAGAGGCTCTGCATTTTAATTTAATTTTAAATGAACCTTCTTAAACATTTTAAAAACTTTATTTACTTTGCATACAACAATTGTTTAGTTATATATTATAGACTTATAGAAAGAGACCTTCTAAAAACATTAAAATGTATTACTGGCACGTGAAACCTTAAATTAGAGTGAATAAATGAAGACTTGGCACACCACTTCTGAAAGATCGCAGACCCCTGGTCTAGTCTGATCTCCTGCACATTGCAGGCCACAGAACCTCAGCCACCCGTCCACTCTTGTAATCATGGGTGGTTGGTGAAACTTCCCCTGTGGGAGGCTAGCTCCTTGTCCTACCTCTTCAGCCAACAGGCCAACCCACACTTCACCCCTGCTCTGCCCCAAGCCCCACCCAACACTGACTCACCATTCACCTCTTCTCACACACACCTTGAGGTCTTCCCCTCCGATCACCTCATCCCCTGCCCGCCTGCGACTCACCCACCTTCTCCTCTCCTCCTCCTCCCCCCGCTAGATCCCCCCCACCTGCTGTGCAGCTGTTTCACTGCTCACCTCCTCACCCTGCTGCCCCCTCCCCTGCAAGACCCTCTTCCCTTTTCACCTAAAGCACTAATAACATTCCTCAAGGGAACTGAACAAGCAACAGCTATAGATCAATTCTCCTCTGCGTGGTCAGGAGTTCTGGGTATACTGTATAGAGAGATGAAAAGCCAGGCTACCTGTGCCAAACTGAGGCCTAATCTCTCCTTTTGAAAAGTGTCTGTCATTGGCAGCCTGCATTAAGGCAGTAGTTTAATAACCTTTCTTACACAGAATTCCCTGCCAGATTTATTTGCTTAAACTGGGCTTGAATAAAACGACTAGATCAAGACAGGTTTCAGAGTAGCAGCCGTGTTAGT